GCCACTTGTCTCACTTTTTCTTGCCTAAACCCTTCTAGAACACAGCGAGTATACTGTAACCTGGGTGATAGAACACCTCCTCAACAAGTTCAGCGATCAAGTCGTACTTCTCAACGTTCGTGACATCGTCAACGTCCCGGCCTCCTTCGGCTTGGTATACCTCTCCGATATTCGAGGTGCGGACCCCGTCGGTACGCGTGTACTTGACGGCAAAAAGAAATGTACCGGCTTGCTGGCCTGCTATATCTCGCATTACTGACAAAGCCTCCCTCCTCGCTACAGAATGGATTGATGAGACCGAGAAAGAATATATGGACGCCTCGCACAAGTTACTCAAGTATTACGGCAACCGCATCCTCAAGGCTGGAGTAAGCCCAAACATCCATTTTCTTTCCCTATGCATCACATACCGACAGGCTCTTTCGCACCGCTGACCTACATCGCTCAGATCAAGTGTCGCGCCATTGCTCTCCGAGGCGATCCTCGCGAAGAACTCGTGCACAAAACCGCCGAGATCAATGCCGACATGCTGGTCATGGGTTCTCGCGGAATGGGCACTATCAAGCGGTATGTAAGCCGTCGTTCGCATGCATCAATAACGCTTTGTCGTGCTAAAGCGGCATTCTTTTTCACACACCCCAGCGCGCTTCTCGGCAGCGTCAGCGATCACTGCGTGCACAACAGTCCCTGCCCTGTCGTCGTTGTTCGCCACGTCGACGACAAAAAGAAGAAGAAGCAAGCCTGATTGAAATGTAAAACGTCCTGGAACAGCACCAACGCGGTTCCCGCATTAAGCCCTTTTTTCAGTGTTGTGGCAGTCGGCGGCCAATGAGCAATTTTCGCTTTATCACGCGTATGTTTTTTGTACATACAGAAAGAGAATCAATGTCTTTTCTTGCATGACATCTCGCTTAATTATTAGCCGCGCTTCTCCGGCGCTTGATTTTTCGACATGTGCGCGAGCGTCTCCGATATTTCCGCGTCATGGACGCTTTCGTTCCGTTTTAGTTCCTCCTCCAACGACGACACTGATGCGGACAATGCGTTGATTTTTTGGGCGTGCTCTTCAGAAGGGTTTGGTAGTGACTCGTTCTGGCATTTTTTGTTTTACCATCGTTAGTTGTGCTCTGTCAGAGAGCAAAACGGATTTTCCGACAGCACAACGGCTCGGAGGAGAGAGTACCTTCTTTTTTAGCACATCTATCGTCTGCCTCAAACCGTGCATTTCGTGCTCGAGCTCGGCCTCTTTCGCTCGCTGTTGAACGAGCGCCTGCGCCGCCTGTTCCTCCATTTTGTATTTTCGTATTAGTCGCGAGGTAAGCGTGTGTGTCTGAAGGTTAAACGCGCCCAGCCAGCCACTGTGGACAGGGATTTGACCCCACACCCACTTGTTCATCCCACCATTTTCGCCCCTTAGCTCCCTTCCCCTGGTTTCTCACTATGTATATGGACATGGCGCAACATAAATAATTGAGGGCATTGGGGGCAACGCTTTTGCGGACATCAAAATGGAACAACGTGACGCTAAAAACACGGCTTCGAGTGCTCAACCCACACACGCATTTTGGCTCGGGATATGCGGCGGCTCACTTGCGCAACTCCTCCTCTCGAGACCCTCAACATGTTTTCTTTCCCTCATTTCGCGCTCGTGCACAATGCCTTTCCTTTCCTCCGAACGGCGGAAACGACCATAAACAGCATTCCAGATTTCCTCCTCCATTAGCTTCTGGCAGCGCCGCCCGCACCGGCTCCAGGATGCAGTTGCTGCAGGGACTTCAACCTGTTGAGCAACTCAGCTACCTGCGTCTGCGGCTGCTGATGCTGCTGCTGTTGCTGTCCAGCCATGGCAGATGGGTTTCCTCCGGAGCCGGCACCACTCTGTGGGAAGGCTCCAACGTTTGTTCCCGCACCCGGAGTCACCGGGGATTGCGTCGGCGATGCGGCCACATTAGCGCGAAGGAACTGCTGGGTTTGCGTCTGCTGACGCTGCTGCTGCTGGGCCATATTTTGCTGCTGCGAGGCCGTAGCGCCTCCCTGGCCGGCCAAGAGGGACAACAGGCCTGCAAGGTTCTGCTGCTGCTGGGGAGGCTGGGCCGCAATTGCCTGCGACTGCGGTTGCTGTTGTTGGACCAATCCTGCCAAACCGTTCAACCCTGCCAACGCAGCCAACGGATTCCCTCCACCTGCTCCTCCGGCCTGGGCACCTAGCGATTGTGACAACTGAGCCAGTTGCTGCTGCTGTTGTTGTTGCTGTTGTTGAAGGGTTGCCATAAGCGTTACCAGCATTTGTGCGTCCATGCCTCCGCCGGCTGCTCCTGCTGCGGCAGCCTGCGGTTGCGCCTGTTGGCCCAATAGTGACGCAAGAACATTGGCAATGTTGGTTTGGGGTGCCGCGGAGAGCGCTGGCTGGACGACCGGACGGACTGAGCGATCGCGGATAAGAAGTAGAGCTGCAATTTCCGGGTTCACGTTCTCGTACTCTAAGAAGCAACCATCATGAGAGTGTCAGCATATCTTTTCGGTTTTAGTCAGAGTGACGGAAGAACAAAACTCTCACCTGCGACTGTGTTTCCAGCTTGAAATATCTGCAAGCTGCACGTTTTGCTGACCGCATGCTTTCGTTCCAGAAACAGCACCCCTCGACAGCCTTCTGCCATCATTTGATACACAGTTTCATGCACAGACATTCCAGCGTTCAAGTTGATAACGTCTGCCTTGATGCCTGCATTACGAATAATAGCTTCGACCTGTCCAATGTAGTTTCTAAAAAGTATTGTGGAATGTTGGTTAAGTTCGTATCACTGCGAAATTGACTTTATCCATCATTTACCTGTCCATGTCACTGAGGACGATAATTTGGCATTCAGGCACCGCGGACCCTGTTCGTGAGGCAAGAGGAAACCCGCCCGTCGCCACAGGTGCGGCCGACATGGTGGGAGTAGGCAGGACAACCTCCCTACGTCCCACATCGGGAGGGCCCCATTTGCTCGCTTTGCGGTCTGGGGACACCGAAGCAGACCTCCGCCTACGTCGCGGAGAGTCACGTCGGTGGCCATGGCGGTCCGATCCACGAGATGATGTGGACGAGTAGCTGGAGGAACGGTTGCGGTTTCCACGTGGGCGGTCGCGCTCATTGGCGCGGCCGCGTGGCGGTGACCGACGGGTCGGGCCGGCATGGTCGGTGGTGCTACGTCTGCGGTTTGCGGCACCACCACGATTCACCTCCCTGCGCGTCGCGTTCTTTTCACGGGATACCTTCACATCTAGAAAGAATTCAGGAGGAATGGTCAGAGAAATTAAATCGCAGGGAGCAATCACACCACGAAGATCATTCTTACCCATGCTCAATCCTGCCAACTTGCGTCCAGACTCGGACGTAGCCCTGGTACACGCCTCGGGCGAATCAAATTGCACGAACCCAAAACTGCCTTTGAGCACGATTTCGGCAATATTGCCATAAGGAGCAAAAATCCTGGCCAGCTCCGCCCTGTCTGTCCGCTCGGAAGCAAGATTTCCTAAAAAGAGGCGAGAGTATGGAGGCATTGAGGAGATAACATCACTGGGTGCTTGGAAGGTGACCCAGTGAGTTGGGTGATAATCAAAGGTTGCAGTGGGCGGAGGCGGTGTTCGGGTAGCAAGAGCAGGCGGGCCTCCTGGGCCACCCGGACCACTCGGGCCGTGCGGAGCGCCTCCAGGCCCATGACGATTGAATTGCTGAGCACCACCGGGGCCAGGTCCGCCACCATGCTGCTGAAAGTTGGCTGGAGGACCATTCCGTGCGTGCGGCGGTCCATCCAGCGCCGTTGGATGAGACGGCGAATACCTAGCAATCAACAGCTGTGTTTGAGACACTCGAAACCAGCTGCGTTGTTTGCTTCAACAACGTGAAATTACCTCTGCCCTCCGTTGTCGTGCGGGTGAGGAGCAAAATTTCCAGGTTGCCGCGGGTCGTTTGGGAAGTGCGGACCGCGGTTACCTCCACGCGAACCAAATCCAGGGCCAGGACCATAAGGGCCTGGAGGCGGAAATGGGCCGGGATGGGCATGGTGGCCAGGGCCAGGTCGAGGTCCGCCGTAATACGGACCAGCATTGCTCATACCCTGAAATCAAACAAACCAGAGGTCCAAGTCAATCAACGAATTCCTTAATTAGTCCGCACAGGAAGGGATTGGACAACATGAACTGCCAACACAGGGCATCGACACATTGCAACGGAATCTCATTGCAGAGTAATGTTGCTTGGTAACATTACGTTCTCGCATCCCTCTCCCCTGGCAGGCGGTTTCTCCCTCCCTCGTTTGCGACCGATAGAATCCCCATCCATATTTATCTTGAGCAGCTCGAAAACTCGGCGCCACATTCGTACCCGCCTGCTTCATCTTCCCTTCAATGGCCAGCTTTTTCGAGTCAAGTGCATACCTGTGGACCGGGACCATCAAAAGGTGCGTGATGCGGCGGAAAGCCAAAGGGATTTTGGTGCTGCGGGTGCTGATGAGGATGGCCATGAGGACCAGGACCAGGGGGTCTTCCGCCGCCACCCTGCGGAAAGTACGGAGGCATATGTTCGTGCGCGGGAGGTACGTGTCCGCCTCCTCGCCCGGGAGAACCAGGAGGTCTTCTGTTCATAGCGGAGACGGTTTGAGGAAGGACGGCCGGTGACGGGGACTCAATCTTAGAAGCGGCGACGAGGACGGAGGGGGACTGCGGACCAGCGGTGGATTGCGCAGGATCGTTCAAACTTTCTGACATCGAGCGGTCGCGACCGGGCGATGTACTCGAGTAGTCGAGTAGGGCGAGGTATCAATGGAACGAGGAGTCAAGAAAGAAGTGTTCTTAAACACTGCGTGCGATTTCAGATTTAAAAACAATGCGGGTACAGCAGCGACAGGGATATTCAGGCGGATCGGGGTGGTGCGTTGGGAAAATCGCTGAGCGCAGGCCTGTTCTCGACGCGCAGTCGGGGGTAAGCAAAACGTGCAGGAAAAAAGCAAAAAATCACGTGGAGTTGGAGGGAATTGAACCCCCTGCCTCCCGCATGCTAAGCGGGCGCTCTGCCAAGTGAGCTACAACCCCATTGGTTGAGAAGACATCCCTGTTAAAGAGCATTCTTGATAAAGCATTGATTTAATCACGTGTCCTTCCAAGGGGCAACGCGTGAGGCATCTCCGCCAGCGTTTTGGGCAAATCGTCGACCAATTCCCGACTTGCCCGCTGATACATATATTGCTGCAATCACGTTGCATGAGCAATCTCGAGGCTGTAAGCAACGGCTTGCCGGGTAAAAGTGAGCGTCTGTGTGCCCCACCGCAAGGACAAGGTAAGGATTTGATGTGCGCAGTAAACCGTCGACAGCTGCCAGCATATCTGAAAGAATCTACATTCTATTCCAAACCAGGTCTGATGTCCGGAACTGCAGATACCGCATCCTTGCTAGAACGCGATAAGTCTTCGACAGCGATTCAGGCTTGCGGCGCTGATAAGGAGGAATGGGGTAAAAAAGAGACTGACGGCAACGCCGCAGTGGCCGCACCATCGCAGCCTGAACTTCAAGCCGTGAATCAAACCCCTCCACCTCTATCTCAACAAGCATCACACCAGGCCACCAGAGCTAGTGCGCTGTCACCAGACAGCTGCGTCAGATCAGTATCTGTGTCCGCCGATTCAAACCCCGACTGGACAGCGCCAGCGCAGGCCACGCCGGAGCAGCATTTCGGACCAGCAACGCCAAAGCCACACCCCTCAACATCTGAACCGTTTCCGTGCTTTTGGGCTTTCCTCTCCTTTCGCTCCTTCCGCTTCCTTCATTTACCACGAACGTTACGATCTCAACTAGCGCAGGATGCGGAAAAAACGCCCGCGTCAGAGGCACAAACCTCGCAATCTCCCCCTCCTCCCGAAGCGACGAAAAATGGCAGCAAATCAGCTGCCGCGCACAGCAAACATATGGACAGCTTACTGGGTCAAAGTGTGTTTGATTATATGCATCCGGCAGATGCCGAGGTCATTCAAGCCGAGTTCAGGTCTATGATGGATATGCAGACATTGCAGGGATGCATCGTGCGGTAAGTCTAGGCTATAGACTTCATACATGGCAGCCACTCATTAACTGGTCTGAAAGATGTCGGTTAACGAACCTCTTTGCGCCGGTCGCCAAGACGAGCGCGGAAGGCGGTAATCACCCACCGCCTGCACCACAATGCGAGCCGGAGTTCACTCCAGATGAGGAGTCAAGCGACGATCAACATCATAACCTTTTCAACTGTGATGACGGCAGCCTCCGGGGAGAAAGCGTGTCCGACAAGCGAGAACAGCAATCATCTCAGCCTGAAGCGCGACAAAGCTCGTTTCAGAAACAGGTAGAACCTTTCTATCACTTTGTGGATATAGGGTTCAATCCGATAACCGAGCAATGCATGCTTGTATTTTTTCACATTGGAGCCTGTGAGTTGAAGAAAACGAAGAGCACGTTGTCCACTTGCAGCTAATCCGGTTGCATAGGCGGCGATCAAATGGAGTGCGCGCATCCAATCAATAAAAGCATCCCTGATTGGCAGCAGACGGATGGTGAGGCTCTAAGTCGAGGGCTGCAATCGGCACTCATGCTCTCTGATGTTCTGGACCGCGATCCTCGCACCTCGCGTGCAGTTGACGTACGGCGCGACGCCGCCGCGTCGAAAACGCGCTTTGTTCAAATTGTAGATGCGCGAGATCTTGCGCTGTTGTTTGTGCACCCGGCGGAACGTTTCGTGGAGGTCTTGGATTTGCAACCCAACCTAGCACGAGGTCTTGAAGCACCAAGCCTGCTGGAGGAGACAATGCCATCGGATGATTTCAACCGGTTGTGCAGGAAATTGCCCTTGTCACCGGACAATCACCCAATCGCACCGCCCGCAGAACCAACCTCGCCGGATCGTGCAATATCTTCCGAAAAGCGCGGACGTCAGCCACGAGTTTCACCGCCGCCCCAACCGCCACGCAAACGAAGGCGCCGCAAATCTACTTGTGACGGCAGCTTGGAAACTGCAAACGCGGGACCGCACTTTTACTCTCCAAAAGCGGAAGCTGCCTCACGCGCGGTGTCTCCAGATCGTGCAAGCGAGCTGAGCTGCACGCGCGGACTCTTTTATATGACCCACAAGCTGCGGCGCATTGGGGAAGGCGGCACTGTAGACGCCGAGAGCGTGGTCGTGCCGCATGGCGGACTAATTTTCCTTGTCACCCAAACCTTTGCCCCAATTGCGCCGCCGCGTTACACGTCTGAAGCACTGCTCGAACAGCCCGGTGCATTCGCGGCGGCCGCGTGGGAGGCGCCGCCAGTGGCACATCATCCCACTCTTCAAGGTCTCGCGTCTCCGCCTGGACCATTTGTTCCGTTTCGGCTTCCTTACGAGCCACCATATGCCCAACATGGAGTGCCACCTTACCATAATCATCAGCAATATAATTCCGCGCTACCTCCGCTCGTGTGGCCTGTTTCACATCCACCAAGACCTGGGGCGCTGGACGAGCTGACAGCACGATGGGCTTACGAAAATGAGGATATTGGCCGTAGGGTCTGGCACGCTCGGCACACACACCCGGGTGCAGCAACCGGACCGGCGTGTCCTCCCTCCCACATGCATCCTCACCTCCCGCATCCGTATGCTCACCCTCATTCTCAATTTCGGACAGCCGGTATGGCCGGAACGCCGGTCGCGCCGCCGTTTATGTACGCGTTGCCTCCGCTATCTCCACATCACCCGCTTCACTGCCCACCTATGCCTTTAGCCATGAATCCGTATGACCTGCGCCACTATCCCTACGCCGATGACTTTTTCTCGGATGATGAGGGATCCGCAAGCTCGCGCTGCATATCACCTGATGCTCCATCATGTGACGGTAATGAGCGTTCCCCCGTTAGTTCTCCAGATCCTACGCCTCCTGCACAAGTTCTTGCGGTGGTTCCTGCCAGTGCTCCAGTGGCACCGCGCAGACCTTCGATAACAGCTTCAACACGTGTCAAGCGCGAGCCTGTCGGCGGCCCATCGTCTCCTGCTCGGCCTGTTCTTCCCGCAAGGGGTTCCATCAGCGGGGCATTTCCGAGTGTGCTGCCGCTTGCCATGAGCCATGAAGCTCTTCACGCAGCAAATAGCGCTGCCATGGCCCATCTCCCGCGCTTATGCGAGAGTTGTCTAACTACCGAAAGCCCGGAGTGGCGAAAAGGTCCTACGGGATTGAAAACGTGAGCTTGACCGACAACCTGAGGCTCTGACAGGCCCCGATTTTTAACCCATCCCGCTTGTCTTCTTTGCATTGCAGGCTCTGCAACGCTTGTGGTTTACGATACTCGCGCTCAGTGGCGAAGCTGCGCACGTCTGCCACACCTGCCACCGGCGCATCCTCCTCCACCGCAGGCCGCGTTGCCCGTAATGGTAGTGTATCTCCTTTAAAGTCGTCTGGATCTAAACAGTCCGATCGACCGCTTCCTGAGCCTTCCGGACGCCCAATCAGGCCAACGCAGGTGCTGCTTGCTCAGCATGTTCGGATGCAGCAAGCCGCATTGGCGGCAGCTGAGAATGAAAGCGCTAGAGGGACTGATTCTGTCGAAAAGTAGAACGTATGTTTATATATATATTTTAATTTTTTTGGATATCTCACTTTGCTGCGCGGAGCTGTCGAAAAAATCGCCTGCTTACGCGCGACCAGTCTCCTAAAATAGCGACATGCTCTTTCTTCAATTTCGGCGCCTCGGACCGTTGCCTGTTACATTCTCGCCCGCGTTTGTCCTGTGTCCTGCTGTAAACAAATCGACCATGTCAACCGGCGAAGCGCCCAGGGAGATGCCGCCTGCCCGGCCCGTCGCTCCAATCGAAAACATCATGTGGTCGACGGCCATGGATGTGCACGATAAAAGTCCCCCGGCAACCGCAGTTGTTCCATCTACCATTGCCGAAGCAGAGGACGCTGAAGTCGGCGAGTCTCGCCTCCCGGCTCCTGGAGACTCCACTGCGACGGCACCGGTGGCCCCGATTGACACGAGCACCACGCTTCCGATTGTCCTGCATGACGAGGCTGGACACAAAAAGGCTGCCGAAAAGAAGGGCAAGCGTCGAGCATCGCGGGAGGAGCTGAATGTGGCTGAGAAGCATGACGAAGAAGAGGAAAAGGCTGCCATCCTGCATTCGACGGGGGTAGGCGCGATCAGTAACATCGTGCAACCTGCACTCGCCCAAGAGGCCGCGGCCGTCGAGGCAAACGACAAAGTCAGCGCACGTAAGGCTGCTGCAGTCGCAAAGCGGAACAAAGATGAAGGCCGGAAAAAGGCTCAGATCGCCCCGAACGCTGATGTCGAACCCGCCGCTGCAGCCAAGAAAAAGCGTCGAACCGAACGAGCTGACGCTCAAAAGGCGCGGAAACATAGATCCAACAGCGCTACTTCAGACCCTGTTGAGCATGCTGCTAAAATGGCTGCCTTAACATCAGCGGCCGAAACATACGATTCTGAACGTGCTGCGCTCGATGTACAAATTCCACAATCCGCGCGACGTCGCCGCCGCCAAGCGCCGAGCCTTACAAAGGAGGAGAAAGCCGACGCTCACCGACATTTTCACAATCTTCATCCGATGACCAATAAAATCGTTGGCGCCAAATGGCGTGCAGTGGATTGCGAGATACACGAACGCAAGCTAAGCAATGTTAGGAGCACAATCGATACGAGCGCGCCTAGGACGTACAGCCATTTAGACAACAAGAGAAAAGCGATGCAGCTTGCAATGGGTATAGCATCACATTATTTACAGGCACCTGACGAAACAAATCTCATGACGCCATATGTCACTTTTTTTTATAGAACGCCAGGCACAAATTGACCGCGACAATGACATCCTGCTGGAGAAAATGGCGAGCATAATGAAGATGGAAAAGAAGCAGTATGCGCAGGTGCCCTCACCAATGCGTTTTGCTCATAGCCTCCACTCCTACAAGCGAGCGCGAGATGCAGCGCAAATCGACAAGGACAACCAAGTAACCGTCATGTTATCGTCAATCTTCTTCGATCCGTGTTCATGGGTGCTAAGTGTATTTCTTTTTGCCTA